GGGAGGGGCGGCCGCGTCTTAAAGGGGCCTCGCCGCCGGGCCCGCGTGGGCGAGGCTCGCGTCCTGCCTCCGCAGCCCGACTCCCCCCGCGAGGACCCTCACACTCAGACACCCGGTCGCCGGGGGACGCCACACTGGGGTCGTGACCTTTGTGGCCCGCAGTCCCCGCCCCTCCGGCGCCGGGGCGGGCCACACCCACTCCGAGGGCGGAGCCGGGGCGGCCGGGGGTCGGCCGACCCTAGTCCACCCGCGGCGGCGGAGGGCGGGCGCAGCCTAGAGGAGGGGCCCGTCGGGGCAAGCTCCAAGTCGCCCCCGGTGGGCAACAGCTTCTGGGCAGAGGGTGCGCCGCCTTCCCGATCTGGGTGCGACCCGGTTCAGTACTAGCGCAAATTCCTGCAGGGAAAAGTCTGGCGGCATCTGCACCGCGCTTACTTGCGCTCAGCTGGTGTTCACCCCTTGGTCCTATTTTTAACAAATTAGGTAATTTGACCACTGATCCCAAGTAACTCCAGTTTGGGGGCCAAATCCTAAATACTGGGCACACCTACTGTGTGACACGGTCCTACTGTTATCCTCTGCTAGCCTTTACAAGCAAGCACAAGGAAGTGCTTGCTGTCCCCAGTGTGCAGCCTGAAGACAAACTCAGGTAGGGTGTCCGACCTAAATCTGACCACACAACTACTCGACCTCACTGGGACATCTCCACTGTCTCACACAACCGCTTGATGGGCTTGTAATGAAAAAAATTTAAAGGCCTGCAAGCCTAAGGCCTCTGTCATTGGCAGCAACTTTTTTTTTTTTTAAATGCATACAGAACTGGGGTACAGCCCAGAGGTACAGTGAGAGGATTCACCAGAGACAGAGTGGAGAGCAGAGCAGGCAGGTTGATGAAGGGCACTGCTGAGGGGAGCAGCAGGCAGGTCAGGAGGGGTCTGCTGCTCCATGTGGGTCAGCCATGTGGGGGCTGGGGATCGAACTCAAGCTGAAGCTACTGCAGCTGGCTTGCAGTGCTGCGCCTGAACCCGGTGTGCCACCAGGGAGGGCCCCCCTTTTCAAGAACTTGTGCAACATTTGCTCTTTCCCATCCTCTTTTCTCGTCCCTTGCAGCTCCAGGCCTACAGCTCAGCTCAGACCTGCCTTATTTTTAACTTTTCCTAAGAGAACAACGACTCCAGGCCAACAGATGTCTGAGCCTTTAAGGCCTACACTGCGCTCCTGGAGGCAGTTGTGAAAGCAGGAACCTTAGGGTGAGCGCCCTGTCAAGGCAAAGGGGCGAGCCTCCTGTACCAGTGAGAAGTGGGCACAGCTGCCCAACACCTAGTCAGTTGAGCCCCACCTTTCTGCAACTTGTGAACTGCGAAGACCAGCCAATCCCTTTCCTCCTAAACCAAAAGGAAGTTGGCAGATGTCCTTTCAATTTCATGGTTAATTTTCTCTTGCTCTTAGGCCTCTTTGCTTATCAAGCGCCACAAAATCCAAAGCCTCTGGCTCCTTTCTCTTCTTAGTAATTGATTTGTCTTCTGCACTCTCCCCCACCCCCAAGCCCCCCAGCCTTGCCCCCTAGTTGGGAAATCCATATTCATGATGGTGAGTGTTCTTAGGGGTGTCCAACGTCTCTGGGTCAAACACCAAACACCGTCTACAAACACAAAGCAGGTCCCACCCTTCATTCAAGCTGCCAGACCCCTGTGACCTGCTGTCCCAGGTTCTGCCACAGACATGGGGAAATAAAGATGACAGGGCCAGGCCTGGTAGGAAGCCAGCCACGAAACTTGCCAGGGCAGTGAAGTGAGATTTGTGCAAGAGAGGATGGAAATGTAGATGAGCCTCAGGCTCTCCAAGATAGTGCCAGCACAGAAGGTCCCTGGGAGGCTGGTGGTTAGTCTGCCTGAGGGCCAGGGGAGCACCATTCTGGGCACAGTGAGCTGTGCTTCCGGAGCCCACCCAGCAGCCCACTGCACGCCCAGACTCTATGTCGCTTGGTGTGGTCTGACCCTGGGAGGGTCTCCGGTGGCAAGGGTGAGGCTGGCTGCTAGTCAAGGACCAGATGGCTGGAGCAGGGTGGCACCCAGGAAGGGGTTATTGGAGAAATGGACCGTTTAAACTGGAGTAGGTGAATCAGATTTACGTGTTAGAAAAATGACTTTGGCAGAATTGGGGAGGGTAGGCTGGAGGCCAGAGGTGAAGGAGGAAGAGGCGGCGAGGAAAGGTGAGGCGTGGGAGAGGGCAGGAGCCCAGTAAGAGGGGACCGCCTGGGTAAGGTAGACTTGGGAGGCTCAGGTTGCTGGTTGGCACAGGGCAGTGTCAGCACTCGGTTATGGAGCAGGAGAAGCCAGCTGGAGGCTGATTTGGGTATGAAGTGAGGAGGCAGGTGTGTGAACACGACTGTGAAGCATTAGCCTGTGATAAAAGGTCCGAGGCTGTCTCAGTGGCTAACAGCCATCACCCAAGCACTTAATGAAGCGCATGCTCTGGGCAGGATGGCTGCTCTGGGCAGGATGCCGCAAGCCTGGTGCTCTCCCACCTTCTGGAGCCCGTGATAATGGATGGGGCAGTTTAAGAAAGTGGTAAGTGCTCTGAAAGAGGGAGGCTGTGCACGGATGATGGGGTGAAGGGAACAGGGTTTGAGACTGGCAAGGCACCAGGTATCTGTGATCTTACTTGAGCTCAGAGCGGAGGAGCCCCCAGAACCTGGAGGGAGGTGGGGAGTTAGCGAGCAGGAGGCCAGAAGGGCCATCTTGTATGTGTGTCTGTGTGTTAAGGGGAGGGAAACTAACATCAAAAGGTGATGGGGCCCGCCCAGCACCCAGTGGGGGCAGTCCCTGCTGGGGTTCCAGGTGAGTCACCCCCAGAAACAAGACAGAGCACCCGGGAGGGGCGGGGCATATGATCTGGAGTCTTCCGGTTACTTTCAGTTTTCTGTATGGACAGGAAGCAAGATCAGCAGCTGAAACCAGGTATAAGGGGCACGTTGGGGTTTGAGAGAAGATAAAAGATAGGAAGTTCGCCAAGAAGAGTAGGCTAGAGTCGTGGTGACTTCACCAAGAGCTGAGGTTAGTCACGCTGACTTTGAAGCGAGGCCAGGAACAGTCAGAGCCACAGCAGGTACTCCTCAGAGCACTGGAAGGCTTTACATCTCAGTTCATCCTTGGGGCCGCCCCATGAAGTCAGCACGGGCATCCCCAATTGTGCGATGTGGAAGCCGAGGCACCAAGAGGCCCTATAACCTTCCCAAGGTCTGTCAGCCAGGGAAGGGGACCCCAGAACCAGCATGGTGGACCCTGACCCCGAGGCCCACTGCCTCCAGCAAGTGCATAGAAAGCCAGCCGCCTTCGGTCAAATCTAACAGAAACACGTTTCCGAAGAAGCAGCTGCCACCTCCCTTCCTCTGCATGTATTTTTCAGAACCCTACAAACCTGCTCTTAACCAACTCCTACAGCATGTGGACAGTAAAATGATGTTTTTATTACAGCCATTCCCATCAGTACACAAGTGTGGTTTTCACTGCTGTGTGTACTCTTTTCTCTGGAAGCGGGTGGGCCAGAGCCTGGGGGCAAAGGGGGCCAGGCAGACCCGACAATCACAGGACGCTCCTCGGACATAGCAGCAGGGAACCCAGACCAGGATCCTACCTTTCTGGCACTTTGCAAAGTGCTGCTAACCTCCCTCGAGAGCATCTCAAACATTTAAGTTTCTATCTCACATGACTGGGATTTTGGCAAATAAATAAAGGAAGCAAATACAATTCAAAATCCAAGGCTCTTCCCGGTTACAATTGCCTGCCTCTGTGAAAGCCGAAGCCAAATATTTGCTGAATATTTGCTAAATGTTTATCTTAGATAAACACTAAGTTTTCAGTTTTCTGGTAAGCCCGTGGTAAGCCTTACAATTCTATGAGGCAACTATTTCTAAATATCTTATAAATTA